GGACCGCCCAGCTTTGCCGCTCCCTCCCGGCAGGGCTACGGGACTCTCCCCGCAGTTTGGTGCAGTGACTTCCATTCCGAACTTCAGTGCTGGGCACATCACCACACTCTGCATTTGCGGAAAAACCGATTGAACTGTACACTTTATGGGGGGAATTTATAGTGGGCGAGTTACAGCTCAGTGAAGCTGCTGTTATGTGAAATAACTGCGGTGAGACTGCAGCCTCACTCCTTAGGATACGAAACCCAAGACACTGAGAGATTTCGAGGTGCCATCTACACATCCGCCATGGACAGTCCACAGAATAAGTCAGAGGCAGAGTCCAACTCAGCAGGGCAGATGTGGACACAGCTCTCCCGCTGGCGGTCAGAAGCCGTTGGTACGGAGAGGAGGGCGTATGATGTGCTCTCTGGGATACATTATTTTTAAAAATCATAACAAAGGCTGTTCCTCCCTACAAGCTTCTGGCCAGTTTCCAGGTACATCGGGCGGAGCCCCTCCCTTCCTGGTTGCCTTTGTATGCTAACAAGTGGAAGATGTAAATGAGAAAGAAAAAGCCCAAAAAACTCCTGATCCCATTAATTATGGGGGGAAAAACCGCCACAAACTCAAAAAACCCTACACTCTTAGATCACTTTCCTTGATCCAGGAAAGAGCCGTGCCACGGAAACAGGACAGCTCAGAGAAATGTAAAGCACCAAGAAACAAAACAAACATTTACTCACAGCATCATTATGCTCAATGTAGACCAAATGAATACAGTACATGCCAGTCAAGAAAGGAGTAATTCTTGTGAAGTTAAAAACTTCGAGAGAAACAATATATATTCGCATATTTTATTTACTGACCTCTTTGAAACATGTCAAAATTCATATGGCTAATGGAACTTTCCATGTTAAAAGGCTGCTCAACACAACAAATTCCTAACAAAAAATATAGAATTCATATGGCTAATGGAAATTTCCATGTTAAAATGCTCAACACAACAAATTCCTAACAAAAAATATTTTAATGTAGGAATCAACATATGAACATTACATTACTTGGTAAAGTTCAGGTTACAGATATAAGATTTAAAAGGCTGCTCAACACAACAAATTCCTAACAAAAAATATTTTAATGTAGGAATCAACATATGAACATTACATTACTTGGTAAAGTTCAGGTTACAGATACAAGATAAATATCAAATAATATTCTTCTGGCTTAATGGAAACCTAACAGTTGTGATGGTCGTGTTTAACCCCTTGGTTCGGTAATGAGAGGAATGGGCAGGGGTATCGAAGAGGTACGAGGTACGCAAAGATTTAACATGACAACAGTTATGTTAAATAACATAACAGTTCGCATAATCCTTAGCCCTTCTGAGCCAGTCCACATGGGAAATCTGTGACAAGTGCCCTGTAATGTGGTGGCTTCCATCTATCAGTGACTTTCTGTTCATGTGTTTTAAGCGCTGAGAACTAGATTCAAAGTTTGCTCAACAAGCTTATTAATACTAATAATCCCTTATATGAAAAATTAGTTTAAATTTGCAAAGTTCAAGATAAAGCATACTTGTTTTCATAATTCTAGATACAATTGAGACTCACTCTACTGTACATAATCAGTATGTGCAGTTAATTCTAGTTACCATATTTTATATTTGTTGGTTGTCAACTGCACAAATGTTATGCCCCCAAAAGAAATGATCAACCCAGCAAAATGGTTACATTTAATTTTTTTTAAAGACAAATAAACTAAACTTAAGGAAGAATAGGCTTTTCCTGATATCCCATTTTCAAATTATTGCTACAAACGTACTGAAAGAAATAATTACATATTTTCCCCAGCATCAAATAATCTGCAGAGTTTCCAAGTAGACACATTTCCTGTTCCATTTCCAAAAATAAATAAAGGCTTTCTAACCGAAAGCATTTGCATTCTTCGCTCTCTAGAGTAAACATAAGAAGCAAAGTACAAAACAATGGTCTCTTGGCTTCTGAATAGTTACAGTAAGAATTTTCTGTCCCGACACTGCCTCAAATTCAAAAGAGCTTTTATTAATATGAGCAAGTATGTGCAGTTAATTCTAGTTACCATACTTATATATTTGTTTCGTCAACTGCACAAATGTTATGCCCCAAAAGAAATGATCAACCCAGCAAAATGGTTACATTTAATTTTTTTAAAAGACAAATAAACTAAACTTAAGGAAGAATAGGCTTTTCCTGATATCTCATTTTCAAATTATTGCTACAAACTTACTGAAAGAAATAATTACATGTTTTCCCCAGCATCAAATAATCTGCAAAAGTTTCCAAGTAGACACATTTCCTGTTCCATTTCCAAAAATAAATAAAGGCTTTCTAACTGAAAGCATTTGCATTCTTCGCTCTCTAGAGTAAACATAAGAAGCAAAGTACAAAACAATGGTCTCTTGGCTTCTGAATAGTTACAGTAAGAATTTTCTGTCCCGACACTGCCTCAAATTCAAAAGAGATTTACTTCCTAAGAGCATGGCAAGCAGTCTTCATCTCAAACGAGTCAGTCCGTTTCCATGGCAACACTGCGGGATTCCTTGGCTACCATAAGTCGCATCAGTTGACTGTGGAATTTCTCAATCTTCTTCACATCTTGAGCTTGGTCTGTTCTGTACACCAGACACTGTGTGACTGGGAAAGGTGTGAGTCTTTGCTGAGGCTGTGCTGCTCTATTTACTCTCTGGAGGTCATACTAAGAAAATCACATCCACGTTTCCAAGCCTCCAGCAATCACATCCCTTAAGTTTGTCACTGCTGTGGATAAAACACTGCATGAACTCTCTCAGAAGCTTCTCGGAAAGGACCAGTTAAGCAACATGTTAAATACTGCTGTAGTCTAATGAGAGCTCTTGAGCTTTAAATTAACACAGGAAAGACAAGAGCTTAGGGGGGTGAGGGTGGAGTGTACCTTGACTGATGAGGAGCCACTAAAGGTTTTAAGGCGGTTATAACAGTCAAATTCGCATTTCTGAAACCACTCCAGCAGCAGTCTAGGACTGAAGGGGGAACTGGAAGCAGGGAGTCTAATAGTCCAGGCAAGTGACGATGACAAGATCCTAACCTTAGAGAGTAACAGTGAAGACGGAGAGTTCACGACAGGAAATAAATGAGGGAGCTCGAACCCCCAACCCCCAAATGCCTAGACAAGTGTACAGAATGCACCAGAGGTTCAAGGTTTTTCAACTGAAGACACAGTGGACATGAGAATGACGGACAGGAAGGGACCACATGATCCACAAGCATGAAGTGGAACTGAAACCAGGCCACAGGAGCCCGTGGGAGAAGTGGCGAAGCGTTCTGTTCCGGACAGGCTGGCTGGGAGGAGCGCTGAGGTGAGGACGCTCAGCTCAGAACTAGTCAGGAGTCAGAAAACCATGCGAGTGAAATGTACCAAACTGAAGAGACAGCTGCAGGCAGTACTGCATTTAATCACTGAACAGGTTACTCCACAAGTGGTTTCAAAAGATAACCAAGGACAGAGTCCTGGAGAAATCAGCATTGCTGGGGCACATCAGCGAAGCCATGAGCAAAGAATGAAACAGAAACAGAGAACAAGAAAAAAATTTTTTTTAAAGAAAAAGAAAACAGGATAAAATGGAGCCACAGACACCAAAATAATGATTTCCACGAGAGTGGCTTTCTGTATCAAAAGCAGCCAGGAGGTCAAGTAAAGTAGGAAGCGAGGAGACTTCTGGGCTTGAGAATTACGGAAGGTGCCGTGGGCTGCACCAAGAGCAGCTGCAGTGGTGGGAGCAGCTGCAAGGGAGGGAGCAGCTGCAGGGGAGGGAGCAGCTGCAGGGGAGGGAGCACAACATGCAAAAAGCATGTGGCAGAGGCTCGGAGGGGAGGGGATGGAGGGA